TATTCGTATTATATTTAAACTTATCATTTCTCAATGGAAATATTAAAATCTGTAGCGTCGGCGTTTGAATTTTCGCGGGGGATGTGCGCAGCCGCTGCGCGACTGGCTTGTGGCTAGTTGCTGGCAATCTATAAGATCGTTCCCTATGCTATAGGGCCGTCAGGCATTCGATAGCTCGGTAGTAGTCAGCTGATGGCAAAATGGAATTAAACCCTTCCTGTGATACGTCGCGAGATCGATCGTAATTCTCGTGAGTGACCGTGAAACTCCTTAATAATCGTCGATTCGTAATCTCCGCGCCTTCTACTCCGATTCCCGTGGCAGGAATTCGGGTAAGCGACATTGTTATTAATATTTCCAGCGATTATGCGAACGCGTATCGATTTACGATAAACTCATGGCAAAGCTAATGTATTTTTCGTCATTTCGTAGAGAGCATCCAGTTACTTTTTGTACTACTTATACGAAGTGAGTCTGACGGGAACAAAATGCCTTTAAGTACAGGTGAGTAAAAATTTGACGCACGTCAAACAAGATGTTTCAACTGTTTCGTTCCACGACACTTAACGTTCCTTTATCTCGTTCTCAGACATATCTACAGCCCTCCATTTGTTGGAGCACGTTCAGGAAAGGGTGGAGGATTGCGATGACCCGAAGTTGCAGATGCACACGACTCAGGACATAAGATCCTTGATCTCACTGTTGGAGGATCCAGTGTTCCGCAGCATAGTCACTATCCAAGATTCCCTGATCGAATTAAATACCCAACTTGGTCAGCATCCGTCTATTATTCCTGGGGATTTCGATATCAATATTAGTGGGCAATTGGAACTTTCGGTTCCCACTACTCCGCTGCAAGCGCTTGGATCGAATGTCTATCAAGATTTATATCAGGACAGCAGTGAAATAGAAGATCAGAGGGTCCCGGTTGCACCACTGGTGCACAGCAGCAGCGAAGACACTAGTAATCAGGTAATTTATTTCGTTTATATAAAAATCTGATAGCTTAATCGCCTGCGATTATTTATTTTTATCCTATGTATACTAAATGTTTCGTTTAACATGGACAAAAGGATAAATTTGTTGGGTTTAGAATGAGAAACGTGATTTGTGATGCGATTTTATTTATTAGCATGTTAGAATTTATTTTCTTTTTAATCAAACGAATAATTTGATCCATATTTCATTCCTTTTGCATAAAAATTTATTAACATAATAAGTTTTCGTTTTGTCGTTATAGGTTACAAGTCCGAGTCTCGCATCGGAAGTGATGGGAATGCCTCCAATTACAACAACGACGTATGCAAATGAATTCAAGAAAGTGATCGAAGCTGCTGCGAGAGGTCGACAAATATTCACTGTGCAGGTTCGTAAAAAACGTGTGAATGTTCTCATTGGAAAACTCATTATTGCATTCGAAGGTGTATTAAATAGAGTGAAATCTTATTTTGTTACAGTTGTACAAGCCAGAGGGTACCAGTTTGGGATTCAGCGTGGTCGGTCTTCGCACTAAGGACAAGGGAGAGCTGGGCATATTCTTGCAGGAGATACAACCGAACGGGATAGCTGGCTGGTGAGTCAAATGAAACTGTTTTTATTTAATTTAACAATTACGACACTAGAACTACCAAGGACTACCATAAAACTGACGCTTTTTCAATGGGAAAATATTTGTATTTAGAGTCTGTAGTTCTAGTGTTGAAAAATATTACAGTAACACTGCTGGAGCTTCGAATTTCGGAGACTTCGGTAGCATCGAATGGCTACGTGTGGTAGGGCTATATCGAACTGTGGTAGGGATGAGAGCTCGCGTGTAAACGGAGGTTTCTCAGCTTTCCTTCAGGGGAAAGACTTACCAAGCAACTGCGGCTTGTGGCTAGTTTGTTTTTGCAAGCCGATATACTATATACAATGATCTTCGAATACATGGCTACTGATCGATAGCGGAGTAGGTCGTATAGATCTCTTAGACCGATATTTAGAGTTGATATTTATATTTAAGATCGTCTTAAGTATTTGCTTTAGTCCCCGTTTCTTGTACAAGATAGGGACTGGAAATATGAGATAGACAAGGATAGCGAATACATAAGACGATCTTAAAAATAAGCAACGATTCTGAATATCGGTCTTAGAATCGCTCGACACTCGAAAATGTCGATTGTCTGAGCGCGACGACAATAGAGATAGAGAAAGAAAAATAAAGATAGATATATGATGGAGATACGTGGCCGTGACATTGGAAACTTATTCACGTTAAAGATATTTTTGCACACGTACATCGGTGGCTCAAAAATCTGGAGCCAAGAGACAGGGAGAGAGTCCAAAAGCAAAATTCGGGCAAGGTCGCTATGACTGACAATGAGTGACGGATTTGCGACTTAAAACGAAATGGAGCACAGTTTTAAAAATCCTGATTTCTTTTTTTAAATCTTCATTGCATTTCGTCGAAAAATCTTCTCCGCGATTATGTAATTTAAATATCTATTACGTTGCTTTTAATCAGACAGGATCGCAGGACGTGGATTATATAAGCATAGGATATGATCTCGTGCATAATGTTTCGTAATACAACTACATGATGTTCAAGAGAAAAATTGATCTTTTCGGAGAAACGGAGCACGTTCTCTCTGTTTTATAGGATCAATAGAAATACATTGGACGATCTATTATCTTATCATTCTGTATTGTACGCACGAAACGGTAGCATATTTTAGTAGCATTCGACTTGTGTCAGTCAATTGAAACCATATGAGACCTCGGGAGATAGATTCCAACTATCAATACACCGGAGTACCTCAGCTAGTTTAACCAGGTAACCACCTATATTCGGGAAATTTCTGACTTGCTGGATACATATATTTAAGTTATATAATATATATATAAAAGTTATGTAGAAAAGAATTTATGGTGCCAGTTTAAAATACGTGTTTCAGGTGAATACTTATCTTCTTATATATAACTTTCGATCTTCTGTTTTGTACATTAGCAGTCTCAATCTTTTCCTTCTTATTATAAATGCATTAAATTCATGTCTGTTTATTATACTTGGTTTCTTCATAACAGAAAATAATGAATTCACGTCGTACTTGTTTCTGTACAAACTTGTACACCGCATGCACGCCACGTAGAATTGCAAGGGGTAAATTACGCCCGTCTGGAATGACTTATCAACTATGCATTCAGCATCGATAGTAACAGCAACGATATAATTTCGTATCCACGATTTCGATTTAATCATTCCATTTCCATGCTAACGAGTACGATTCATGATATACATTTTTCCTCATCGCCGAACCGATAAATCGATCGAGGAGGAACGTAGCGAACGGTCAAACCAAATTCGGATTTGTCCGCGATTTTGTTTTTTTCCCCCCCGTTCGCTCGAGAGATTATTTACGAACAGCGGCGAACAAAGCCGGACGACAATTTGATGAACTGCAATTGGGAAATTCTCGCGGCTTCTTTTTTAACCCGATATTCGTCCCGGCATATTTCCACGCGATCAGGCCAATACGATAAATCTATAGAATCATTTGTTTTAATAAAAGGACCAGCACAATCTTCCCATGTTTTCCAATACAATCGACGTTAATGTTCGTTAAATATTTCAAGCTGGCTTAACTAGATTTCGTTAAAAGTCTCTGGTTACTCCGGGACGGGGTCCAACTGAATTTTCTGCAGAACTTCGTGCCGAACGGAACGGAAACTATCCGGTGGAATAAGAGCGCAAAGGGAGTTTCGGGATGTGTACATGTGCAGCAGGTATTCGGGGGAGCGCGAAGCATAAGGAATAAAGTGGAGAAAGGTGTAAAAATCGTGTGTTTTTTATCGACCTGGCTCCGGGCTGCGGGAAAACTGGCAGCGTGCACACGCCTCGGGACGTGGAACTGGGTTAGATCGTCCGTAGGTGTAGGCGTCATCGATCTCAGATTCGAATTCAACGCGAAATTATTCCGCTTTCTGGATTATTCATGCCTCGACAGCCGGTAGCTCGCGATTCAATCCGGACAATGTTGCTCGATCGATGTCCAGACATTAAATAGACAAATCCTCCCCCTCGGTTATTCTTCTTCTACTGTTATCGTTCTTCTCCTTTTATTCGAGTTTCGTTTTTTTCCTGCATCGCCCCCCCCCCCCAACCGGTTTTAATCACCGGGACGAGCCGGCTAAAGCGTTAAGTGATATCGGCTATTTTCTGCTAAATTTCGCCTTTTATCATTCCCCAGTTTTCTCTCTTTTCTTGTTTATTACCGATTGTTCATTAGAGAATCAGACCGAAAAAGGCGAGCATGAAATAGGACAAAAGTTTCATACGACGTGCATTTATTATTAAGAGTTATAATTGTCTAAAATAAATACGATATAAATCGCAGTATCACAGAAATGAATTGAAATAGCATTCTGGAACGAGTCCGAGTGGAATGGGTTTTTAAAAGGATTTCCTTTTCGAGAATCAATCTTTGAATTAGCACTGCAATTTGCGGAGCGTTAAATGTTTCAAGTTTAACGAGAAAAAATTGCTTCCGGAGCCGCGTCTGACTAGCGACGAACCGTTTCTACTTACCGCCAGCCTCGTTTATGTTTCCTCGTTACTTACGAGCGACAAACTGATCATTCTACTGAGGAGTAATTTAAGAAACTGTTCAAAGTGACGAGCGACGTACTTCCCTCCGTTATATTTTTCATTTTAAATCATGGCGGAAGTTAATTAAACAGCAGATGTAAATAAAACGGGTCGAATTCGTGGCGTGGGCGGATTTTCAGTGGTTTTTCGAACACAGAACGTGTCCGCTGTTCGGAATACTTCGGTTACAACAGATTAACCGTCACGAAAGAAGTCGACGGTCGATTCGTTAGGGCCGCGCTCGTTTGCTTTGCAATTCGCAACGCTTAAGGGTCGGGGGGTCGGGGGTCAAGCGTTCCGTGGCTTCGCTAATGTCGACGAGCAAATACACCAGGGGTAAGTTAAAGCAGGCACAATAGAGATCGGTATCCGCGATACACCCTAACCGCGGCTTCGGTCTCGCCGAGCAGTGCACGCTTCCACTTCGCTCCCCGGCGACGACAAATTTCGTCGACCGGTGGTCGTTACAGTCACCGTCCTCAGTTCGTGTTAACTCTCTACGAACCGGGGACAGCGCGCTGAATTATGTACAATACGCCTCTGCTCGGAACTAATAGGACGCTTGCCATTTTCACTGAATCTCATTACACGCCCTGGATAAATTATTATTGTTCCATTTACTATGTTAAAGAATCTCCCTCGCCCATCTTTTATTCCAGTACTAAAGGCGTTTCGACAATAATTCGTTTGCTATGGCACCTGATGATTAATATACAGGGTGTCTCTAAAGGAGGCCACCTAAATATCTTCTTT